GCCTTTTGCTGGGGTCTTTGGCTGTTGGCTTGTGCCTGTGCTTGTCGGTCGCCTTTGTGTCACGGAGATCTTTCGACAGGGCCTTAATTGTCCCTCCCCCTCGTGACCCCCCCCCCCTTTTTTCCTCGGGCAATTGCTAACCCGTTCCCCCCCCCTCCTCCCCGCACTGCACACGATGTCAGGACTAGCGCCCTTTCTTGATTTCAATGTCATAAATGTAATCATCATAATCCTAGGAACAACAATGGCGTACTTTCCCCTTCCCCCATGGTTTATTTCCCACCCTCGTTCTAAGGTCCACATATCTCCGGACAAGTCGGATTTGAAGGTATAATTGTTCACCACGCCTCTGAACTCTCGATTCAGGAGGTGACGTCACGTGACCTGTTGGCAGACGAGGGTCAACGGCGGGACATATGGAACGGGCGAATAATTCTCCCTCCCTCTCCTTACCCCCCCCTTTTTTTTCTCCGTCTTTCACTTTATTTTGGCCTTCCTTGTCTTTTTTTACCTTTTCTTTCTTTTCTTCTTTCGCTCCCTCTCCCATTTCTCTCTTTCTCCGTTCTATACCATCCCCTCCCCTTCATACACCCACTTCCCTCCCTCCTTTCCCCTCCCTGAACCCCTCTCCCTCTCTCCCTCCCTAACCCCTTCTCCCTCCCTCCACTGACCCCCTCATACCCCCCTCCCTCCCTACCCCTCCATACCCCCTCCCTTCCCTGCACCACCTCACTACCCCCCCTCCCTCCCTGACCCCTCCCATACTACCCCCTAGCTCCTGACCCCTTCTCCTCTCTCCCTCCCCTCCCTGACCCCTCCACTACCCCTCTCCTCTCCCCCTCTCCTCCACTGACCCCCTCCACTCTCCCTCCCTCCCTGACCCTCTCCCTCTCCCCCTCCTCCTGACCCCTCCCTCCCCTCCCTCCCTGACCCCCACTACCCCCCTCCCTCCTGACTACTCCCTACCCCTCCCTCACCTGACCCCCTCCACTACTCCCTCCCTCCCTGACCCCTCCACTACCCCCCTCCCTCCCTGACCCCCTCCCCTAACCCCCCCCCCCCCCCAGCGCTAGTTATTATTTCTGAGATGACTATGCTAATTGAGTCGACACAGGCTGGCTTCCATTACTCTTCTATCATACCTCTTTATACATCTTTTTTTTCGTACCCTCAATTATTTTATTAATTTTTCTTTTTCCTTTTTTTTCTTCTCGCTTTCGTAATCTGGTCGGTTTGTTGTTATTTCTTTTTTTTTTATTAATTTTATTTTTATTTTTTTTTTCTCGCATTCGTAATCTGGTCGGTTTTGTTGTTGTTATTTCTTTTTCTTCTTTTTCTTTTTCTTTTCTGGTCGGTCAGTGTCATTTTCTTTTCTTTTTGTTGTTTTTTCTTTTCTTTTTCTGGATCGGTCAGTTGTTATCATTTCTTTCTTTTTTTTCTCTCTTTTCTTTTTCTGGTTCGGTCAGTTATTAACACTTTTTTTCTGTTGTCGGTCAGTTGTTATCATTTTTTCTTTTTTCTTTTTCTTTTTCTGGTCGTCAGTTTTTTTTTCTTTCTCTTTTTCAGGTCGGTCAGTTATTATCATTTCTTTTCTTTTTTTTTTTTTCTTTTTCTTTTTCTGGATCGTTTCATGTTTAACAATTTCTTTTTCTTTTGCTTTTTTTTTTTTTCTTTTTCTTTTTCTGGTCGGTCAGTTGTTATCATTTCTTTTCTTTTTTTTTGTTTTTTTTTTTTTTTTTGGTCGGTCAGTTAGTTCATTTATTATTTCTTTTCTTTTTTGTTGTTGTTGTTTTTTCTTTTTATTTTTCAGGTCGGTCAGTTGTTATCATTTCTTTTCTTTCTTTTTTTCTCTCTTTTTCTTTTTCTTCTTCTGGTCGGTCAGTTATCATTTCTTTCTTCTTTCTCTCTTTTTCTTTTTCTTCTTCTGGTCGGTCAGTTGTTATCATTTCTTTTCTTTTTTTGTTGTTTTTTCTTTTTCTTTTTCTGGTCGGTCAGTTGTTAACATTTCTTTTCTTTTTTTCTCTCTTTTTCTTTTTCTTTTTTTGTCTGGTCGAGTTGTTATCTTCTTTCCCTCTCTTTCTTTTCTTTTTCTTCTTCTGGTCGGTGTCAGTTTGGTATAACATTTTCTTTTCTTTTTTTTTTTTTTCTTTTTCTCTTTTTTTGCGTCGGTCAGTTATTATTTCTTTTTTTCTCTCTCTTTTCTTTTTTCTTCTTCTTGAAGCTTGGTCTCCCACCATCATTTAAAAAAAAATTGGAGATTATTTGCCCCGTTCCTTTTTAACATGCTAATTCGAAATACGATACGAGTTAAAAGGTCAGAATGAGATGGATGTATTGTATTGCAGAACGCACGCACGCCACAGACGCGCCACACTTCACGGCACACACGTACGGAAACGGCCAGTCGCTGTCGTGTGTGTGTGTGTGTCTGTTTCTGTGTGAGTGTGAATGTGAGTGTGAGTGTGAGTGTCCGTGTCTGTGTGAGTGTGAATGTGAGTGTGAGTGTGTGTTGTGAGTGTGGTCTGTTTTGTGTTTCTGTTTCTGTGTTCTGGTGTAACCATGATGTGAGTGTGTGTACTGTGTGATGTGTGTGTGTGTGTGGTGTGATTGTTGGTAGTGGTGTGTGTGTGTGTGTGTGTGTGTGTGTGTGCATGCACTTATTTGGCATTCCTTCAACAGGAATATCATCATCATCATCATTTACTAAGAAGTAATGCTCTGATTTAGCATAAATGTAATACATATCTGCTTATATTTTTTTTATTCGGTTTTGCACACAACACAACGTCATATAATATACAACGGATATTAACCCGTGCAAAACACCCTTTTCTTGCAATCGAAGCCTCAATATATTTGCACAATCTCCACATGCCTTCAATATATATAAATGTATAGTATATATATAATACCCATGACAAATACCCATGCAAAACACCCTTTTTCCTGCAATCGAAGCCTCAATAAAATATTTGCACAATCTCACAGCAGATAATAACCACAACAAGCAAAAAAAAAAAAAAAAAAAGGAGAAAAAAGAAGAAGGAGAAGAAGAAGAAGAGAAGAAGAAGAAAAGAAGAAGAAAAAGAAGAAGAAGAAGAAGAAGAAGAAGAAGAAGAAGAAGAAGAAAGGAAGAAGAGCAGAAAGAAGAAGAGGAGAAGAGAAGAAGAAGGGGGAAAAAGGGAAAAAATATGCAATCAGATTCACAATATATTTGCACGGTCCTCGCCCTTGGGAAGACAATAGCCAGATTACAACACGACTGATTGGCGTTCCTTTGGCAGCGGCCGGAACAGCTCGCAAGGAAGGTGTCTGTGTGTGCCTGTGTAGTGAACTCTACCCATTAATGTCGTGTGTGTGTGGTGTGTGTGTAACCTGTGTGTGTTGATAGTGTGTGTGTGTGCTCGTTTGTGTGTGTCCTGTGTTGCTATAGTGTGTGCGTGCGTCGCGCTGCGTGCCGTGTTGTGTCGTTTCTGTTTCTGTGTCTGTTGTCCGTGTGAGTGAGCATGTGAATGTGAAATCCGCTGAGAATAGTGTTGTGTTGTGTGTTGTGTTTGTCGTCGTTATGTGTCGTATGTGTGTGTGTGTGATGTGCTGTTATGTGTACAAGTGGTGCCAGAATCTTGTTTCTGTGTCTCGTCGTTTAACCGATGATAACCCTCCCCAAATTGCATGTGCGTAGAGCTGCTGTAAGTGACGTGTACCTATCGGCATTCTAGAGTTGATTCACACATCAAGGCTAGTTGTGTACTGATCTGTTTTGCTCGCTCACACTTTGTGATCCTCCTGTGTCTCGCTGTGGAATTGCTGGTTAAATTGTGTGGCTTGGTCTCGCTCTTTGTTAGCGACCGTAACCTGGAAACAACTTAACCTAAAAACCTTAGTGTGTGTGTTGTGCTGTGTGTGTGTGTGCTGTGTGTGTGATGTTGTGTGTGTGTGTGTGCGTCGTGTGATAGGTCGTTAGATCAACGACATCGAGGCCAAAACTCTTTTATAAACGCGAACTTAGATTTACCACCGTGCAACGAGGCTACATGATCGTAAATATTTTTTTCTTTGGGGGGGGGGGATCTGGGGGCGAGTGTTGTGTTAAGAGGTTTTTCTTTAGGGAGGAGATCGTCGAAGATATTCTGTTTAATTTTTATCTCAATAATCATATATTTGTATATTGCGACGCTAACACACATGTAATTGTACACACACCACATCACCACACTACCACCACACCACACACACACCACCACACACAAACAACACACACACACCGATACAATTTGCAGGTCTAACTGTAACCTATCGTGATATAGAGGATACTATATTTAATATATATATTATACTATATATATATATATTATAACGGCATCTACAGTTCTATGTGCAGAGGGAAACAAATTTTTGGGATGGTCTTACTCTGCCGTTAAATATTTATAACTGAGCTTATGTCTTGCATTTATAACATGTATAACAACACACACACACACTCACACTCACACTCACACAACACACACACACACACACACACACCAACACACACAACACCACACACACACACAACACACCACACACACACACACAAACATTATTCCTATATATAATACCTACTAGTATATAACTCTAACGTAACTAACTAACCTAACCAATATATCTAAGATAATAATACTATAATAATATACTAATATATATATATTAACACACACACCACACATCAATAACCATGATAAAACACAACCCTTGGAGAAAAGTCAAGCACAACACTATACATGTGTGCATGTGCATGTGTGTGTGCTGTGTGAGTGAGACGTACTAAATGTACACGTATAATCCTCTTCATAAACTTCATGTCCGCCCTATATCAATTGTTTTCGTAAAAGATAAGAACTGGTCCCCTTTCGTAGAAACAAAAAATAAAACCTTACCGTATTTATTACATAGGCAATTTGAAGTGAATTATTAGAGGACCGCGACGAGCAAGTGAAGCAGAGCGGCAGTTGGCGCATCAATTATCCTCCGGAAGCTGTTTTGAGTTCTTGAGGTTTTCTCAGGTATCGCTTTTGGGGTTCTGATGGATTGGTATGCTTTTTGGATTGTTCTTGAGGTACCTTTTGGGAGTTCTTGAGTTCTTCGAGGTTCTTGAGGTTCCTTCGGGGTTCTTGAGGTTCCTTTGGGGGTTCAGCTTCTCCGCGGTTACTTGAAGGTTCTCTTCGGTGGGTTCTTGAAGGATTGGCCTTAGGACGAGAGATCGTTGAGTTACCTTTTTGTTCCTTCGAGTTGTTCATTGACGCAGTTTCCTTCGACTGGGTTCTTGAGCCGTCCTTCGGAGGTTTCATGTAGGTCCTGCGCTTTGGAAAGATTCCTTCGATAGTTTGCTTGAGGTTCCTCGAGGTTCTTGAGGTTCCTTCGAGCGTTCTTTTGAGGTTTCCTTCCGAGAGTTCTTGAGTTCCTTCGAGGTTCTTGACGGTTCCCTTCGAGGTTTCTCTGAGGCTTCTTCGAGGTTTCTTGAGGTTTTCCTTTCGAAGGTTCTTGAGGTTCCTTCGAGGTTCTTGAGGTTCCTTCGAGGTTCTTGAGGTTCCTTCGGGGTTCTTGAGGTTCTTCTTTGAGGTTCCTTCGAGGTTCGGGTTCTTGAGGTTCCTTGGGGTTCTTGAGGTTCCTTCGGGGTTCTTGAGGTTCCTTTTCGAGTTTCTTGAGGTCCTATCGAGTTCTTTGAGGTTCCTTCGAGGTTCTTGAGGTTCCTTCGAGGTTCTTGAGGTTCCTTCGGGGTTCTTGAGCCTTCCTTCGGGGTTCTTGAGGTTCCTTCGAGGTTCCTTCGGGGTTCTTGAGGTTCTTGAGGTTCTTCTCCTTCGATTTTCTTGAGGTCCTTTGGGGTTCTTGAGTTCTTCTTGAGGTTTCCTTTTGGGTTCTTGAGGTCCTTCGGGTTCTTGAGGTTCCTTCCAGGTTCTTGAGCGCTTCACATCCTTGAGGGTTCTTGAGGTTCCTTTGGTTCTGATAAGGTTACTTCGGGCGTTCTTGAGTTCCTTTTGGGTTCTTGAGGTTCCTTCGTAGCCCTGCTCTCTTCGAGGTTCCTTCGACGGATTTAGATTGGCTCTACCTTGTGGATCTTTGAGGGTATACCCTTTGGGGTTCTTGAGGTTCCTTTCGGGTCTGAGGTTCCTTTTGGGGTCTCTTTGAGGTTCCTTCGAGATTCTTGAGGTTCCTTTTGAGGTTCTTGGAAGGCTCGTCTCTAGCTATCTTGATTTTCTTGAGGTTCCTTTTGGTGAGTTTCCTCTGACGGTTCCTTCGGGGTTCTTGAGGTTCCTTCGAGCGTTCCTTGAGGTTCCTTTGGGGTCTTGAGTTCCTTCGGGTTCTTCTCAGGTTCCTTTTGGGGTACTCTAGTGCATATTATTTGCGTGTGCTTTCTTAGAGTGTGTGCCTTGCGGAAGGGATATAATCTAGGTTTATCCTCTCTCGAGCGGGATTTCTGAAGGTTCTTTTGGGGTTCTCGAGGTTCCTTCGGGGTTCTTGAGGTTCCTNGCCAGACCAATAGGAGCTTACCTGAAACATATAAATTAAACAGACAATACATACGAATCGTACCTCATGGTATTTAAGCCAAAATATAATGCGTTAGCTAGCGCATTACATTTTAATTTCTATTCTCGCCGTAATACCCTACTCGCATATTGTAAACTCGAATGTACACTTACACTATTAAAATGGCTGAACTTACATCACAAATACGCCAGGTTTTAGAGAGTAAGTCAAAATATCACAGACAGCTTTCTACCATTTCTATCGGACTCCAGCATAACATCTGACAAAGAGTACACAAAAATGTTTATGTTTCTGATTTTACTGTTGTTGTTATTGTAATCATTATTATTATTACTGATGATCATGATTATGGTAATAATGATAATAAAGATGATAATTATATCAATAATAGCTATAATTATAACGATTATTGTAGTAGCAGTAATATTAATGATAATAATGAGGATAATAGTGATAATGACAACACTGATAATGATAATGATGCCAACAACACCAACAACAATGATAATGATGATAATAGTAATAATGATACTAAAAATGATGATAACAATAATAGTAATAATAATGACAATACTAAGAATAATGAAAGCAATAATAATGATAACAATGATAGTAATGATGATAATGAAAATAATAATGATAATAATAATAATAAAGAAAGAATAATAGTGATGACAATAGTAATAACGAAAATAATAATAATAATGATAATAATAATAACAGTAATGATAATGGTAGTGATAATTATGGCAATAATAGTGATGGTAATAATGGTGATCGTGATAATAATATCATTGATGATGATAGAAATAGCATTTATAATAATGATAATAATTAATGATAATGATATAATTATTACAAGCAATAACAATAATAATAATGATACCAACAACAACAACAGTAATAATAATAATGATAATGATAGTCATGATTATGATTATAACTATAATCATGATTGTAATTATAATCATAATCATAATCATTATCGTGATTTTAGTCTTAATCTTAATTCTAACTTTGATTATAATCGTAATCATAATAATGATTATGATTATGATTATAATAACTGTTATCAATATCATCATTCCTATTATCATAATCATTATTGTTATCATTATAATTATTGTTATCATTACAATGATAATGAAAATTATACTAATAACAATAAGTAGAATAAGAAGCAAAATAACAATGATAATGATAATAATAATAACAATAATGACAACAATAATAATAACAATAATGATAAAATAATAATAATAATAATAAGGGAGGAGAGAGAGAGAGAGAGAGAGAGAGAGAGAGAGAGAAGAGAGAGAGAGAGAGAGAGAGAGAGAGAGAGAGAGAGAGAGAGAGAGAGAGAGAGGGAGGGAGGGAGGGAGGGAGAGGGAGAGGGAGAGGGAGAGGGAGAAGAAGAGAGAGAGGGAGGGAGGGAGGGAGGGAGGGAGGGGAAGAGGGAGAGAGAGAGACAGAGACGGGGAGAGGGGGAGAGTGAGAGAAGGGAGAGAGGGAAAAGACGGAGAGAGAAAATCGGGAAGAAAGGGAGAGAGAAAGCGAGACGGGGGAAGAAGGAGAATGCAGAGACGCGCACACACACACACACACACACACACATACACAACACGACACGCGCCGGCGTTCCCCACACAAACAATAGTAGTGAATTTGCATACATCACTTCACCTTTAATTCATAAACCCGCCTCTTCCTAGAAATCAGAATTGTGTATTTTTCCGTTGATTCTTTTCATCTACACAATCGTACGTCCCTTTCAACGTGCATTTAGATCCATTTACACAATACAATTTCTGACGGGGAAATACGTTTTTTTTTATTCAAATACGCACGAAAATTAAAAGCTGTTTTGTAGATATCGAATTCATATTCAGTACTGTAAATATTCTTCGCCCATTTCTGAATAAGAATAAATGCATATGCATACTCAATATCAGTAATACAAAATATTCCTATAACCGCAATGTTAGTGTTATTAGAAGGAAAGAAAGAACGAAAAGGGGAAATAGAAAGAAGAAAGAAATGAAGAATGAAAGACAATAAAAAAGAAAGAAAGTAAAAAATTATATACATATATTCATTTCCGAAATCCTTAGTTCATCTGTGTATACACTTATTCAGTATTCAGGTGGAAACAGGAACTGAATACCACAGAGCTTGGCTGATTGTGGAGTAAAAATAATAAGCTTTTTCAGACAAAAAACATTCCGGTTTTTGTCTGAAGAAGGATATTCTGAAAATAAACAATAATATACAGTTGTAGGGAAAGCTGTACATATCAGACTGTACATTTTTACAGTATACGATTTTCAAAATGAATAATAGATTGGTGACTCCAACGCCATCCGAGTAATGAGACCTGGTTTTAAATGCGTGTGATGGTTATAAAAATGACCAAGTCCACATTCACTGTCCCTGATTCCTGAAGAGGACTGTCATTACAAAACTAATCTACGGGACTTAGCCGCAGGTGCCGCGGGGCGGTTGGACATAAGGCATTTTAAGCAGGGAAATTTCTTGCCTAAAATCTCAAGATTTTTTCTTGCTATCTCAATTTTTTTCTTGCTTTCTGAAGACTCCGGTTAATATTTCTTCAGAGAAATTATTTTTTTACGGTTTCTCTTTATGTAATTTCCATAACATTATATTCAAAGTAATTGAAATTAACGGTAAACGAAAAGAGATACAAGAGATTATGAGAAGTTTCTATTTTTTTATAAATCATGACGAACAATTCATCTCTTACTTTTACCACTCATCGCTCATCTAATCGAGAATACACCTACTGTTCAATAAATTAGAGACTTTCAAGTGGAAAAGTAAAAAAAAAATCTAGTGACATTCTTCTGTCGATCTTTATATCTTGTGATATTATTGTCAACTTCAAAAAAATTATCTGTATGGATATGGGTCCTAAATTTAATTCCGTGATGTTCATTTGTTTTGATAGCGCATCAGAGTGTAAGGTTGCCAATCGGATGTGTGCGTCACTGTTTTAGAGGGACTGTATATGCATATAGGAGGAAATATTATGCTTTGTAGAAGATTAGGGTGAGTTATTTATTTAAAACGTTTAATTGTGGAATTGTTAGAATTAATTATTTTAATTAATTAATTAATTAATTAATTCCACAATTAGTTAATTGTGGAAGAAATTTGAGTTTAAGCGTAGAATTTTCAGGCTTGTTATTAGCCCCCTTCGTGCGGATTAGCAACACGCTCAAACTCTAGCAGTCGTTTCAAGCTGCAGACGGTGTAGTTTCTGGCCTCTGAGTGAGAATTCTTGACCAACTGACCCCTGCTTAAAAGGCCTCTAGCCACGGATGGGGACTTACTATCAGGCGGGTTGCGTGGACTTCAAACGAATTGGCTTTGGGGGCGATCCGAGCCGAGAGGGCGAGGCGCGAGTGGCGGGGGATGCACCGCCTCGGACGCAGAGGAGCGCTATCATTATCAT